CATATTTGGACTCTGACCATGCACTTGTATGTGTTGACATGCGGATGCGCTTTGGCGGAAGCCCACCACGACGTTGTGAGCGCATCGAAACCAGCTAACTGTTCTGAAAGCCTATCAAAGTATGCTGTCATGCGAGTTGAGTAAACGCTCATTGGATGCAATTGAAGGTCACTGGTCTCATATTCACCAGACCTTACTAGCAGCAGGAAAATCCACATGTGGTATGTCTAATCACCAACATGGACGTTGGGTTTCTTCACAGTCTCCGTAACTTATAGATCCTCGCCGGCATAATCCGACTGGAGGCGAACACAATGAAACTCGCAAAGAGCTCCGCGCGAAACTCCCTGTTAGTCTGAAGAGAAACCGCAAATCCTGATGGACTCATATTGCACCAGCAATGGAAATGGCCACTGCCCTTGATAATCATAGTAAGTTATTCCGTCTGATACGGGAAACGGGCAGCAGCAGACCTGGTATTAGTGAAACAATTTGTGACGAGTGTACAGCCTATCCACAGCTTGTCAAAACGCTTACAGCGTTCGGCTGAGCAATTTAAAAGCAATTTAATCGGCCGAAATTTTTAGATTTCTCGCCGGCCACTGATCGCCCCGCTACCTGGTTTGTCCCTTTGGATCCATCCTCTCGCTCAGAAGTAGAACGTGAGTTAAACAAAGCCGCGGGACCTGATGATCTTCCTCCAGCCCTCTCCAAATTCGGGGGACCTGCTCTGGTAGATGAATTACACGAGTTAATAGTGAAAATGCGCGAGCATGAAACAGTCCCAACCGATTGGAGCCGCTCCATCATAGTCCCAATTTTCAAGGGAAGCTCACAATCGGAATGCGGCAGCCGTAGAGAAATCAGTCTGATCTCCATCGCCTCCAAATTGATTGCCTCTGTCATCCTTCACGGACCGAATGGCACTCGTGATAGCCAGATTCGTGAAGAGCAAGCCGGGTTTCGTCGGGGTCGTGGCTGCATTGACCACATCTTCACCTTGCGTCAGCTGTTGGAGCACCGTCACACATGTTGGCGACCCATCGTAGTCGTGTTCCTTGATATCAAAGGTGCATTCGATTTGCTAGATAGACATGCACTTTGGGACTGTCTACTCAGGAAAGGTGTACCTGAGAAATGTGAATATTATCCGAGCATTATATGCGCGTAGCTCGGACAGAGTGAGGGTTACGGCCAGATGTCGTCGACCTTCAATATCTCCAGCGGCGTGAGACAAGGATGCTCGCTGTCACCTTTCCTCTTCAACTTCGCTGTTGACGAAGTCATGGAAATCGCGTTCACAGGACACGACTTAGAAGGTGTGGATCTGCTCCCAGGAGAACGACTTCTTGACTTAGAGTATGCTGATGATATTGCCCTCATCTGTGACAGATACTAGACGTGACAAGCTGCACTGGACAGATTGGCACTAGCTGTCCGTCACTTCGGGCTTTGCTTCGTACCCTCGAAGTGCAAAACGTTTCTCCAAGATTAGTGTGGACCGCCTCCTACGCTGACCGTTGGTGGGGATCAGCTAGAAGTCGTTCAAAAATTCAACTACCTGGGAAGTTCTATCAGCGCCCGTGGGATTGAAGATGAGATCACGAACCGTATAGCAAAAGCTCGCAGCGCTTTTGCTAACCTTCGCCACTTATGGCGCCGGCGCGACATCACACTTGCCCTGAAGGGTAGAGTGTACAATGCAGCGGTACGTTCGACCCTACTGTACGGTTGTGAAACCTGGCTCCTTAAAGCAACGGACCTGAAGAGGCTAGTAACGTTCGACCACCGGTGACTTCGCAATTTAGCTCACATCTGGTGAAAACACCGCGTGAGCAACGAGCGTGTTCGACGTCTTGTTTACGGCACAGGAAAAGGAAATGACCCGCTCAGCACTGTTATTTCACGCACCAGGCTCCGATGGCTCGGCCACGTGTTACGCATGCCAGCACACCGACTTCCGCGACGTGTGTTGTTTGCGCGTCGGGGGTGTGGATGGTAGAAGAGGAGGGATGGCCAAACGATGACTTGGTCCAGAGGAATGAAGGCCCTCACTTCTGAGCTGGCCTCGCTTGGAGCGTCTCGGCTCCCTGGTTGGGGTCTGAAAGACGATGAACACGTTTGGTTGGACACACTTGCTGATATGGCAAGGAGCCGACCTCAGTGGCGTTCGTGCTGTGAGTTTGTTTGTCCCAACACATCCCTCTTAGCCTCCCCCTCCAACCACGATCTCATTATTTAGCCTTATATAATTTTGCATAGTATTTTTGGTGTACAGTAGCCGGCTGGTGGCATGCCGAAACGATGTCCATCGGTTACCAGTAGCTCAACCGGCTTGCACCAGTTGCAATTTTTTTTCTGTGTATTGTGGCACAGTAGCCGAGGTGTTCCTTACCTCTAGCTAACGTGTATGATGATGACGATGTTTGGCCGTGCATAGCACAATTTATTGCTACGGAAACATTTTTCCTATCGTGTCTCAAATCCGCTTCTAAAGTGGTTCTCTTCCTACCTCGAGGATGGAAAGCAAGTAGTCAGAAGTGAAAACTATATTTGTAAAGCCACTTCAATACTTAGTAGAGCGATTCAAGGTAACGTGCTGGGCTCGCTTATATGCTTAATCTTGATAAAATGTTCGGGAAGTCACTTCACTTCGCCGGTAATGTTAAATTTGTGTAATGTATCGCGCCTAAGCAAGGTAGTCCAAACTTAGCCTGTATTTAGTCTGATTTCTCCGCATTAGAGCACCGGAGTAACTCCTGGAAGTTGTACTTCGACACCGACAAGTGTAATCTATTGACTATAGCTGTGACTTTGTTCCAAACTGTCTCATCTCAAAAAACACTGGCATCATACCGTGTGTCCCCGTCTGAGATCCTGGTTTAAGATATTCTGTCTCATTTAAATTTCTGAAGCTAGTTTTATTCTTTTAGGCAGCTGTAAGAAAAACGATCGCCTACATGAACAGAACTGATACATGAAGTCAAAATGTGCATTAGGCCGAAACTCGCATACTGTACAGTAGTTTATGAAAATCCAAGAAAAGCAGAAGTCATAGCTCCGGGAAACATCTAAACGGCCATCAACAAAGATTTTTAAGCATGCCTAACTCTATGACTTACTGTGAGCGCTGCGATGCTTCAAAACTAGAGACGCTATGGCCGCACAGATTTAACCTACGCCTTCGCTACCGCTACATACTCCGATCAAGCTTTACAGCTCAGCCGCAAGTCAAGTTTCAGACTGATAAGCGCAAGTGAATAAGAAACAGTGAGCACATACTGAGTAACCAACAGTAGCGTCCAGTGAGAGGAAGTCATGACTTTCGGAGGCTACCCACTGTCATCTGATAAGGTAGTAACCTGCATGACAGTGGAAGATAGGTCATGCTATATCCCAGTTAGCTTGCAAATTATGTAGCTCAGCCGACATCCCCCATGGCTCAGTGACTTAAGCTGCTGGCTAGTAGGCATCTGCCTCTAGCAGTCATGGGTTCGATCCCCGGTAGGGGACCGAGGGAATGCGCTTCACCTACGAGCCCCAATAGAGTGAAACGAGTCTCGTGCTTTTCCGGACTAGGTTGTGCCATGTAGCTTGTGAGCTGTTGGGACAAAATCATTAAAAATTACTAAAAGTATCGTACCGACCGCTGAAATTTCGTCCCAGTAAAATATGCACTATAGAGTAAATCTCCGTCGAATATCATACTGTAGTAGCCATCCACAATTCAAAAGGACGCCCAATGTTCAACTGACTGATTTAAATATCATGACAACGCTTAACTATGTGTTAAATCTATACGATCTGTATGAAAAATGTCCAGAAAACATGTGAAAGCTGTCATATTTCCTAACTGCCACAATATTATGATTTTCTCTACGCATGTATTAATTCCCTGGTGGGTATTAACAAACAATCTTATTCCTACCAATCGCTTTCCGCTAACACCATCATAAGATCCATCCAATGTCGTCAAAACAATATTTTCTTATTTGAAACCCTGGTTTGGAGATGCAATGCGCCTTTAACGCTGAACCTCATTCTGGCTCTTCTATGCGACCATCTTGCTTAACCACTCCATCGAACAAACCAGCAAATTCCAACCCATTGATAAAACCAGTCACTTTGATTCTCTAGTGTCTCTAACTGTTCGATGGCCATAAAACTTTATTTGGGTACTGTCATACACATTACTAAGCTGTAGGTCAACAAGTTAAATCTCAGCACACCAACCAATACGATAGCCATTGGCCGTGTCTCGAAACACGCTTTTAGTATAACTCTTTCATTGTTTTTCTATTTTCCATGTGAGCATATTTCATTTTATTCTTTTGTTTTTCCTTTGTTGGTCACGAGTGGGCATATGCCGCGTGCAGCACTATGCGTCAGCCTAGTTTGTAGCTGGGTTCAAATTCAGGAGGGTCACGCCACCCACATTCTCAATGTTTGCCAATCGATCAACAAGCAGAAGATTCACTCCGAAAACGACTGAGGGGACCGAGTCATTTGCATAGTTAGGTGTAGTGGAAATGTGGAGCAACATCGACGAGTTCCATCTGTTTCATGAATAAAGGAAATAAATGTAAGTAAACACACACACTGTCCCAGGAACCATGGTAGAGACCTCAGGACAGAAAATTTCTCAATTACGCCCTTCAACAATGGATATCATTGGTACACTGATGCGATCAACTAAACAGTATGTAGAAGTGACAATTTAGAAGTACTTGCTGAGCGGTGGAACTGTGATCATGAGGGCCTGACTTTCAATGAATCGGTTCGCATGGACGTAGAGACACAACATGTACATAATGAGCACTATTGAGATAATGGGAATGAAACTAATACAACGATACTCGCCCTGGATTTTAACCTTCTTCCAATATACAGTGCTCAGTAAACTAGCCCAGTACAAAGTGTCCACGTTGGAAGTTAATCAAGCGGAGCAACACAAATTGTCACAACTTGAAGAGGATAAAAGAAACGATATGGTGGCTCACCGGCATCTCTCAAAAATTGGGGTGACCAATGTCTGCGGGTCGCAGAAGTCCACAGGATTGCCAATTAGGTACAAGAAACGGTACCATGCCTCACGTACGCTTTCAGCTGACATCTCTCGCGGAAGAGTGTGGGTTAGGAAGAAATCTGTAAAATCGCCAGTTATATGTCAGCACGAATTATAGGTAGGCAATAATCAGAATAACAGCTGGTAAAGATAGTGAAATACTAACGGGACAAATCATGTCATCGAACAGCAGCATAAAGCGTAGAAAAAGGAGAGAAACAACTGGTCTCGTGTTCGGACTCCAAAACATTAGGGGAAATTGAGATTCCATGGAATCAGGAGCCAGAATTCTCTGGGAATAGAATACGTTGATTAGGGATCCAAAGTCTCTTAGGTGAATGCTCACTCGAAAGTGATGCGACAAAAACAAACGGTTGTAAGAGTAAAATGTTAGCTACCAAATAGCTATAAACCAGGTCTTCATTAACGAAAACTATGTTGAGCACAAAACCTGAAGGAAATACGGTCACCGTTCAAAAAATGAGAGGCAGAGCATCTGTAGTTTACATCGATGCTTCGCTGAGGCACACTTAACGGATGATGCTAATGGGTAAAAACGTAATGGATCACTGAAAACAGGGCATAAAACATCGGACAGACATAGCTAAAACTCGTCGATATCGTAAGGTTCCAATCCGCGGAGAGACAGGGTGACCTTGAGGAAGCAGATTTCAATGCGAATTTTAGCGCCCAAGGTTACGATTAATTCCACCTCACAAATGATCAAGGAATACAAATAACTTAAACAGTCCAACCGAGAGGCAACAGCAAATACGTCAGTGAGGCGGTTTAGGAGCTACGTTCGGTTGCGTTCCCAGCGAAGAGTAGAGTGATGGCGTAGAATTCAATCACGCTACCCACTGAATACTTGGTACTAACGAACCACAAGTCCAACAAGATCAAGAAATATGACAAAATGCTCCCAGATAAGCGAATTATTTTGCCCCAATGAGTCGCGCTTTTATCGTCTGTCTGGAAGCCACAAGGGCCGTACCCCTGTTGAGATGCTTGGGTTCCTAAACCGAAGCAAAGTAACATGCACATAGTTATGGAACGTCTACAGATTGAACAAGAAACGGGCGAGCAGTCATCGCAATTTAAAGGTGTAAGACGAAGAAAATGGTGGAAGGAATCCGCAGCACCTCCAGAGTATTCCTTGTCCCCCAGACGACTTTTGAACAGCGAAGCGAAAATATCGAAAATTCTCAGCTAAGAAAATTGCTATCTGCATGTGCAGCCCCATAAAAATGAGCCCATGTTGAGAGTGGGTGGCTTGCGCTGCACCACTTACACACACACCACACACCCAATATTCAGTGCAAACCCGAAGGAATAAGACCAGGAGGCATGTGGATGGGAGCCACGTTTCATCAACGGAGACAGGCCACACTCCTTCACGGGCAAACACATGCATGCTTTATTTGGGGAATCAAGCGCACACGAGGCGGTGGCTGGACCGTAGTCCGCTCCACCCTGGGTGCCTGGAATCACTCTTCGAAACTAGCACGACCACAAGGAATTTACACCCCGTCCACTCTAGCAACGACCAACTGTCTCCTAAAGCCAGTATGGACGACGTAGTGGGTAATAGACAGGTGCGCACCTTGTCAAGATGCACATCAAGCGCAACCACACCGGGGATGTCAAACAACAGTCAATCAATTGGAATGGCGATATCAAAGAAAATAAATCGAAAAAGGCATACGGATTTTCCGACTTAACTTTTCGCTAAATTGGCATGCGTAATAAATTGGTTCTCAACAAATCCGCACAAGGTGTCATAAAGTATGTTTTCTTAATGTTACACAGGCGAAAATGTTAACGAAGTAAAGCACAATTAGCTCAAGCGACGTGTGCAAGTTAATAGAATATTTAGGTAGACGAGAAATGAGGTAAAAAAGCATTAAGACAAGATAGCAAAACCCAGCGTCTGAAATGAAGAAATGCAAAACGCAAAGAGTCGGCTAGTAAATCGAATACAGCGTACCTACTGAATTGTGCCGGTACTGCTTACGTTCTCAGCAGGACCCGTCGTCATTTCGAGGTTGACCCTAAATGGCCTCGCTCGTAGCTCATTAAGCCTGCCTGACCCAGGCATTAGCGACCGCATGTGCTACAGCAGTATACGCTCGATGTCGGCGCCTGCCGTTTCCGCAACTGCCGCGTGAATTGACGGCAACCGTACCTAGATTTGTCTGTAACTGTGGCCTCCATGGGGACTGCCACAAGACGCCTGCGGCTACTGAGGGACCATGGGTGGCTTGCGCAGCACCACCCACAGGTCCAACCACACACCTCATATCCAGCGTAAAGCCGAAGTAATAAGACTGGGAGGCATGCGAAAGGGAGCCGTTTCATCAACGGAGTCGGCTCACACTCCTTTAACCATTCATGCCTAAATGGGAAGGCATGCGCATCAGACGTTCACAAGCCGATGGCTAGGCCGCATCCCGTTCCACACTAGATGCAAGCAACCACTCTTTGAGACTAGTACCGAGGACCGTGTGCCCCGACTTTTCCAGCAACGACCAACTGTCTCCTGAAGCCTGAGATCAAGCGCAGCCATACAAGGGATATCAAACAACAACCAGTCCCTGAACTGCAAGAGACTAAACAAGCAGGTACACGTACACACCAACTGCAACGACGATGCCATTATAATGAAACTGGACGTCACCGTGGTGCGATGGTTTGCATGCTTCAGAAATCCATTGAGCTATGCTGGGTGGTGTTTTTTTGCACCTTCAGAGCCACTCATACCAGACTAGTCAATGGTTCGAGTTCAGACAAACTCAGTCTCTTGATCACCTAGGTTTAGGGCTGAAATGAGGTTGGCTCCTTAGTATTAAAACAAACTCCTTGTAATAAACTGTCAAACCCGCTGCCTTGCGGTAAGGTTTTGGAACTAAAGGCTTTAGTTAGGAACCCTAATCGTTCGCCTGTCTAGGCCTGAGCAATCCGGCAGTATGCTGCCCACAATGAACTTTGCCTTAAACAGTTTCCTGATGCTCTGGCCGTCGCAGAGGATAATAAGCAGCGCCATTTCTGCTGAATCGAGCAGGGTACATAGGGGTTTGGATGCTACTGCTCAAGCCTTCACGTCTTCTTACTCCCTCTCTTACGCTTTTTCTCCCGTATGGTCCGTTCCAACTTCATTTTTACCCCCTTGGTTTTCAAACCCCCAATTATCGGCCCTCCTCCATCTTCCGTTGCTAGGCTATTACCTACTAGTTTCAACCCACATGTGAACGCGGAGCGTCAATCCTGCCCTCTCGACAAGTCCATGTCTTAGCAAGCGCTCCACCCAAGTTCATCGGCTTTCACTCGGAGCCCTCGATCCTCCTTCAGATTGGCATTCCACAATGTTCGCACATTGCTTCAGATCGGTCAACAGGCAGCAGCTGCCCGAACATTAGAGACCTTCTCGATCGATATCTGCTGCTTATCGGAGACCCGCCTGCAAACACTCGAGCTCTGTGCTCACTCTGCGATCACCTTCCGATGACACTAGCAACACTTTCTCATTGCACCTATCCGGTGACGAGGCAGCTTCGCGTACCGGCCAAGCCGGTGTTGGTATTGCTCTGAGTCCCCTGGCTGAAGCTACTCTGGTTGATTGGATTCCAATCAGTAGCCGGATGTGTGCGGTCCGATTGGCTGGCTCGTTCAAAACTTCGAAGTCGCGTGCGACCAACAGGTGTCTATTCGTTATCGCCGCCTATGCACCCACAAACTCTAGCGATGACTCGGTAAAATACGACTTCTATCGTCAACTGAACGAGCTCCTTCGCTACAGAAAAAGCTCGGACACTGTTGTGCTGGCTGGGGATCTGAACACTCAAGTTGAAAAGTTATCCACAGATGAGCTGCATCTGGGCAGCCAACGTGGTATAGGCTCCCATAATGATAACGGTGAGCCGTTACTTCATTTGTGTGAAGATGCCCGCTTATTTCTTGTGAGCACTAATTTCAGACACAGCACCCGCAGGAGGGTGACTTGGCACCCACCAGTCTCGAACCAGCTATGGACGCAAATCGATCACATTGCGATAAGTTCCCGATGGAGAGGCTGCATCCAGAAGTGCCGCTCGATTTGGAGCACATGTGTGGACACCGACCATGCACTTGTATGTGTTGACCTGCGGATGCGTTTTCGCGGACGCCCACGACGACGCTGTGAGCGCATTGACACCAGGCAACTGACAAAGCCATCTATTCTGGATGCGTATCGAAGTACGCTGACAAGAGAGTTGAGTAAGCGGCTAATTGGAGACAATTGAAGGTCACTGGTCTCATATTAACCAGACCTTACTAGCAGTAGGCATATCCTCATATGGTGAATCTAGTAGCCAACATGGACATTGGGTCTTTTCGCAGTCTTTGGAACCTATCGATGCTAGCCGGCATATTCCGGCTGGAAGCGAACACAATGAAACTCGCAAAGAGCTCCGCGCAAGACTCCGTGCTAGCCTGAAGAGAGACCGCGAATCCTGGTGGTCTCTTCGTGCGTCGGACATAGAAGTGGCCGCTGCCCTTGGTAACCATAGAAGGTTATTTCGTCTCATACGGGAAACGGGCAGCAGCAGACCTGGTGTTAGTGAAGCAATTTACGACGAGAGTGGACAGTCTATCCACAATTTTTCAGGAGGTTTGGAGCGTTAGACTGAGTACTTTGAAAAGCAATTTAATCGGCCAGAATTGTTTGATTCCTCACCTGCCAGTGATCACCCTGCTCCGTGAGCTGTCTCTTTGGATCCGCCCTCTCGCTCAGAAGTCAAAGTGAGATAGGACGTTTGAAGTTAAACAAAGCCGCGAGACCAGATGATCTACCTCCAGCCCTCTTCAAATTCGGGGGACCTGCTCTTGTTGATAATTTACACGAATTACTAGTGAAAAAGTGAGAGGAGAAAACTGTCCCAACCGACTGGAGCCGCTCCGTCATTGTTCCCATTTTCAAAAGAGTCTCGCGTTCGGAATGCGGCAACCATAGAGGAATCAGTCTGATCCCCATCGCCTCCAAATTGCTTGCCTCTGTAATCTTTCACAGACTGACTGGCACTCGTGAAAGCCAGATTCGTGA